TTTAAAACTGATCCACTGTCACAAAAAAAGAGAGAATGCTGAAAATGAGTGTTGTCTTGTTTTGTAGATACATTTTTGATGAATGGCTGTGGTTATGGTGCTAACCTCACTGATGAATTGTCTGCATTTCATTTGACTGCTCCACAATAAAAGTAACCCCCCCCCCCCCCTTGCTTCACCAGTCTCAATGTTAAGCAGCTGCAGTGGGAAATGTAGCAGTAACTTCATAAAGTGTGAAGGAAAATGAACAGTAAACTATGAGGCTGATTTCAGTTTGATACAATTACAGATAGTAATATAGAGTACATGAATGCATCATTTCCTGTGGAACTGGTGTCATAGAAAATGTAGCAATGTACATTTACTCAAGTATTGTACTTAAGTAGAAATTTGAAGTATTTATATTTGACTTGAGTCTTTCCATTGTACATAGTGCAACTTTATACCTACACCCCATTACATCTAACAGGTGAATATAGTACTTCTTACCTCACTTCATTTGTCTGACAGCCTTAGTTACACTTCAGATAACAGTTTTCATCCCTTTCCTGTCCAGTAAAACACACGTATCTCCAAATATGTTGATTTTGAATGTTTGTGATAAACTAAAGGATGAAGTGTTCCTATATAAATTGAGAAAATTCTCCTACTTCTTAAGCTAAATCAGCTCTTTAAAAATCCTCTTGGATCAGCTGCAAAATGCATCGTCACAGAGCTGAAAACAGGGCCGTTTGTCTGACACCGTGAAAAGTTGGCTTTTTAGAGATGCGTGCTTCTCACAGGACAGCAAAGCTACAAACGTGACGGTCTTACAGAACGTGGCTCCTTGCTGTAGATACCCAGCAGTAAATAAAGGAGTTAAAATGAGCACAACCTTAAACATCTACTGAAGTAAATGGCAACATACACATTAATGCAGCAGTAATATTACTCCAAAGACATTATGTAACAATAAAACACTGATGGGGAACATTTTACTGCACTATGAGTGCTTTTTATTTTCATACTTTAAGTACAACTGCAATTCCAAAAAAGTTTGGAGGCTGGGTAAAACCATAAACTGTATAAAAATATGGACGTAGTCACTGTGACGTCACCCATGGGTTTCTGAGGAGCAGGTTTGAAGCTCAAAGTAGGCGGCTCTGGCCGTCGCCATCTTGGCAGTGCCTGACTCTGCCCAACTCCCGGCCAATCAAAAATGGGCAAAGAGGCGGGCCAAATGAAGCCTGGTCGCTTAACCACGCCCACCTCGCTCAAAGCTGCTAAGTTAGCTAAGGCTAACAAGCTAGGCTAACAAGCTACGCTACTTTGGCTAGCCCTGTGGTGTTGGCTGCTCCTGCTCATGCTCCCGCTTGGTGCCAGCTCCCTCACGAAACAGTATATCCAAAAGGCACAAACACGGCTGAGAGGTCAGGTTCAATGACTTGCGAGTTAGCTGAGATGACGCCTAGCAGACAGCCAGTGGCCAGTTAGCCACCCCTGATGGCGCCACCTGTCACTCAAAGTGACCACACCCCTTAATTATGCGCAACTTTAAGCCTTAATAAAATTTAATTGGATGAGTTCTAAAAAAAATCGCCCCCTGTACAGTTGTCATGAAAGGGGAAATTAGCTATAGAGACCAAAACCGTTTTTTGTACCAGGCTGTAAATATTTTTATTTCTGCTGTAAAGTTGAGCATTTTAACATGGGGGTCTATGGGGATTGACTTGCTCTTGGAACCTGCCTCAAGTGGCTGTTCAACGAACTGCAGTTTTTGGCACTTCCGCATTGGCTTCACTCATAATAAAAATAGAAACAGAAAACAATGATTTGCAAATCCTTTCTGGCCTATATTCAACTGAATACAGTACAAAGACAAGATATTTAATGTTCAAACTGATAAGCCTTTTTTTAAAAAAACATTAAAAAAAAAAAAAAATAACACTTATTCTGAACTTGATGCCTGCAACTCAGTCCAAAAAAGTTGGAACAGGGTCATCAAAAGACTGTGAAAGCTCAAAAAACACCTGTTTGGAACATTCCACAGGTAAATGGGTTAACTGGTAACAGGTGATAGTATCATTAATGGGTATAAAGGAGCATCCTTGAGAGGCTCAGTCGTTGATGGTCATTTTGTGAAAAGTTGTTTAGGCAAACAGTCTAACAGTTTGAGAACAGTGTTTCTAAATGCACAGTTGCAGGAATTTAGGGATTTCACCATCTACAATCCATGACATCATCGAAGGATTCAGAGAGTCTCGAGGAATTTCTGCATGTAAGGGGCAAGGCTGAAAACCAAAACTGAATGGCACTGAGTTTTGATCCCCCAGGCAGCACTACATTAGAAAGTGACTTGATTATATAAAGGATATTACAACATGGGCTCGGAAACACTTTGGAAAACCATTGTCGGTAAACACAGTTCGATATTGCATCTACAAATGCAAGTCAAGACTTCATCATGCAAAGTGAAAGTCATATATCAACAATATCCACAAACACCACCGACTTCTCTGATCCCGAGCTTACCTTAGATAGACTAACACAAAGTAGTAAAGTGTGTTGTGGTCTGATGAGATCACATTTCATATTGTTTTTGTAAATCATGACTGTTGTGTCCTCCAGACTACAGAGAACTGTTACCAGCACAAGTATAAAAGTCAGTATCTGTGATGGTATGGGGTGTGTTAGTGCCCATGGCACCATGTGGAACTTGCGCATCTGTGAAGGCACTATGAATGCTGAAAGGTACATACAGGTTTTGGAACAACATATGCTGCCATCCAGGCGACGTCTTGTTTAGGGACGTCCCTACTTATTCCAGCAAGACAATGAGACACACTCTGCACGTGTTGCAACAGTGTGGGTACCGGACTGACCTGCCTGCAGTTCAGACCTGTCTCATATTTAAAAATCTGTGGTGCTGTATGAAGCGCAAAATACAGCAACGGAAGCCCCAGACTGTTGAGCAACTGATGTCATTCATCAAGCAAGAATTGGAAAGTATTTCACTTTCTAAACTTTAACAATTAGTGTCCTCAGTTCCTGAACGCTTACTGAGTGTTGTTTAAAGGAAAGGTGATGTAACACGGTGGTAAACATGCGCTGTTCCCAACTTTTTTGGAACGTGTTGCAGGCATCAAATTCATCAAATTCAGTGTACTGAATATTAAATATCTTGTCTTTGGATTGTATTCAATTGAATGTATGTAATTATGTGTTCGTGGATGTTTTAATCTGGGTCACCGTCAGCCATTAGGTGTGCAGTTGTGCTGCTACCTACTCCCCCCTCGGATCTCTGCAAGTGCTGTGAGGACTCTAAAACTTCACCAGAGCCTCCCTCGGCATGAGGGTGAGTAGATAATGGATCAATTTGCATTTTTGGGTGCACTATCCCTTTAAAGAGAATTTTCAGTTTGTGGTATTAGTACTTTTACTTATGTCGATGATTTCAATACTTCTGAGTGTAAACACACTGAATGTCTGTCTTGCTGACCATTAATAGTGTCAAAAATGGGGTCTGATTTCTGAAAATCTCAAGAATCTTAGCTCTAAACCTCCAAATTCACAAAAAAATTCAGAGGACATGACCTCAGTGTCCTCTGTCCCCGACTGTTTTGATGCAGTGCTCCCTCCAACAGCACCGGGGCATCATGCATATTAGAAAATGGACTGTCATCTAATCGACCTTTTTATCCAATCAATAATAATCTGATGCTTCATTCATCCCCTATGGAGACATTATCCAACAGGTCAGAGGTCAGCTGCTCACAGCGTCCCTGGGGCAGATCCAAATTATTTAGTGTGTCAGTCATGAACTCCTTAGCATGGCCTATTCTATTCTATTCTATTCTATTCTATTCTATTCTCTCCACACATGTACAGACACAGACAGGAGGAGGGATTTACGTGAATGTATGATGTCTTTATTATGTGTCTTCCCTTTTATTTTCTCCCTCCCTGACCTCTTCTGCCTCTCATCCTCCTGATTCCTTATTCCTCAATCATGCAATATGAGGGTCACGAGGGTGCAGTTCACTCCAATGTCAGCCATCACCTCCAGCCTTTTAGCGTCAGATTACTGGGTTTACTCTATATATAGTCTCCATATCCACTAATACGACATATGATGTAAGCCAGGGAACATACAACAGTGGATTTGCGCTATCTGTGGAAAAGGGGCAGTTAATTTAAGACTCCGAACAAGAGCTTTTTTTATGACTGTAGCCTACATGTGCATGTTGTACTGTTAATACGTGTATTCATCCATTCATTCCTCTTTCAAGTCATTTATGTATCTGCCTCCATGCCTGCGTGAATGCACTTGTGCCTGTGTGTGTGTGCCTGTACTAAAGAGGCAGTTAATCTGACCATGTCTGCTGGCAGGACATCAGGTCGCCCCATAGTGCATTTAGGCAAACGGCCAACCTCAAATAACATTGGACTGTTCATCCTGTTGGGACTACAGTGCAGCTTTGCCTCCAGGAGGACCTGATGCATCCACCAGCAGCAGCAGCAGCAGCAGCAGCAGCTGGAGTGCAGAGAAACACCCAGAAATGTGGGTTCCCATCATTCCTAAAAAAAATACTAATGCTGTTTTATTCTCCAGCAGCCTGGATTTCATACAATTTCGTCAAGAACTTTCCCACTTTGGGTTTGATAGTACAGTACTTATCAGGCTATCTCGCTCTCCAAATGGGAAAGCATCTAATCTAAATGACTGTCTGCAGCGCTTCAAGTGCCATGCAACCCTCTCTCCTCTGCCGGAACAGCTGGCTGGCGGTCGCTTCAGTTCAGAGGAAGAGGCGACGGATTGAGGGTGATTGAGGCACATATAGAAAGAGAGAAAGGGGGGAGAGAGGGAGAGAGAAACTGAATTCCAGCGAATTAATCACCGTCTGTTCCTCTGTGTGTGAGTGAGAGAGAGAGAGAGAGAGAAGGAGAGAGGGAGAGAGAGAGGGGGAGAGTCAAAGGCAGTCAAATAGAGAGAGAGAGGAAGAGGAGGGGGGAGTGGAGCCTGACGCAGTGTGAGAGGCAGCAACTGAGAGGAGAGAGACGGAGAACGAGGGAGACAGCGGCGAGAAGGCAGCACATCACACCAGGCGCCGTTTTGCATCCCAAAAAAATCTTGACGCCACACTGGCTGCTGCTGCTGCTGAGCTCTGTCCCCAGTCACCGCAGAGGAGACACGTGCAGGCTGGGACCAAATCACTGACAGACAAAGACTGAAGACAAAACACCAACACAGCCACACATACTGCCAGAGGCACCGAGCGGAGCGTTTGGGCTGAGGAAGACCTGCCGAGGCGCCTTCCTCCACGTTGGCATCTGGAGCAGGTAAAGTGCAAAGCAGACGCGAACATCTGTAGATTGCGCAGGAAGCGTTTGGCTTCATTTTCATGTGCCTTGCCTTGTGATGGCTGGACTCGCAGTGCGTAGGCAACTTTGAGATACGCAAACAGCTCTGGCATTCCTGCGGTTCTCAAATCATCGACTCTGAACCCATCTGTGTGCGTGCGTGTGTGTGTGTGTGTGTGCGGTTCTCTCTGTCTCTCTGCCTGTCTGTGTGTGTGTGTGTAGTCGTGATGAATGACGGGAATTTGCTGGTTGGCCATTCCCGGGCAGCCTTGCTTGTCTTATCTCCATCCCGCTGTGTCCATTGATAATGCGGGCGCAGATCCACAGATCCACATTTCTTGTGAGTGTGTGCGGCGCCTGAACGTCCCGTGCTCCGCTCTGTGCAGCCTAGACCTGAGCAACTTTGAGCCGAGCATGTTCAGCATTTATAGACATGACTGAGACGTGTTATAATTTCCGCACATTGGTATTAATTTAGTTTTTGTCCCGGGACGGGCTGCGGTGATGGAGCGAGCCACCGGCACGGTTTCACCCTCATACCCGCACCGCAGTCCGGCGGGCTGAGCGTTCAGCACCCTGGACAGCGGCTCTGCACACTCCGGGCTACAGCCAGTCAAACAGCTCTCCTTATTTCCTCTCATATGTCATTGAAATTATAGTTTAATCTGTGTGTAAGTCTGTGGTAGAAAACACTTAAACACATCAGGCCTAAAACTACATTACTTCATATTCTAAGTTGCCTGGACGAAGATGTATCCTGTAGAAGATTTCAGTGGAACTATGCACAGTTTTCCATGTTAATCTCAACATGCAGATCCACACACACTGCAGAACATCCAACCGCAAGTGCTTGTGCATGCAGGAGATTGACCATGTACAGACAGGTGACACATTAAAGGGCTACTCCAGTGATTTAGTGTTGCATTTCCATAAAGTTGGATGTCTCATGAGAGACAGATTTTAAAGGAAGGGGGGGCAGCAGAGGCTGTAATATCCTTATTTAATCCCTGATGATATGCTTTTTTTTTGTGACCAAATTTTTTTATTGTTTTTTTCTTTTTGTTTTCATCATGGAGGAAACACTACAACTGAAAAATAAAGTATTGACAATACATGCCATATCTACATTTGTACTTGAGGGTATCCACAAATACATTAAGCATATAGTGTATTTAAATTAGATGAATAGCAATACAAAAATAAATTGGAGCAATACTCAAAATGTAAATATACCTTCACTTATCCTCCTATAATCCAAACAATAGTTTAAACCCTACCCTGATGCTATGCTTGTAATGCAACTGAAATGCGTCTTTAATCAGACGTCATCAGAATTATGTTTTTCAAATGCTCGAAAGCTTCTCCAGAGCCGCAGACGACAATATGGATCTGTTTTTTTGTAGTACTAATCCTGAACTGCATATGTAAAATTGATGGACTGCTCCTTTAAAGGAAAAACTTGAATAAATGAGTGCAGATTCTTCCATAAAGGGCATGAGGGGGTCACTGAATGACTTAAGGAGCGTGGAAATTATATAAATCTGCTGCCTTCACAGTCACCAGATCTCAACCCAGCAAAACACCTTTGGGAGATTTTGGAGTGACGTGCATGATGGTGCTCTCCCTACCATATCATTTGGAAGGATGGTGTTTGTCCCTCCAGTAGAGCAAAGATTTGTAGAATAAATGCCAAGTAGCTTGCGGTGGTGGCCAAACTTTATCTTCATCCATTTGTATGTTTATTATCACTTTGGCATAAACGTATAAGCCGGTTAAAATGTGGCTGTGCAGCAACAGTCTGGTCTTGATGTGCTGTTAAAAGAGAGTAGCCCACTGAGTGCATGTGTGTGCCACAGAGTCACTCAGCCAGTTAAATTTTGGCCGCCGTGCCCTCTGCCTCCTGCCTTTTGCCCCACTATCTGTTGTAACGGATGTTGTTGCCACTTCGTCCCATAGGGCATGGACTACTAACAGAGTTTTTCCACTGACTGACTTCAATTGTTGGCTGAGTGCCACAGCGGGACAGAGGGAAAGAAAATGAAGACAGAAAAGATTGATAGAAAGAGAGAGAGAGAAAGAGAGAGAGGAGCAGGGTCCCTCTCCTCTCACACCATGAATAGACATGAGGTAGTCCCACTAAAGCAGAACAGGCTTCAGTGACTCATTTTGGGGACATTATGCATTTGGGCGTGAGAAATGGTTGGCTGGCTCTTTTCAAGGCCAGAGATCCTCAGTCACGGCAAAGTCTTTAGTTGTCCTGGGAATTCATTGATAACTATCTCAGAGGTCGCTCATCTTGCTTTCATCCTGCATTAGTACTGCAGTGCTTGCTGCAGCAGACTTTTTCCAGTCTCAAGAGTTGTAAGAGCAGAACAAAGGGGCCTTGAAACCTGTGGTTACTAAACTGCTCTGTTTGATTCTTGAGAGCTAACAACTTATAAAACTAAACAAAATCTCTCTACAGGCAGCGACACAGTGAAAGCTTTTTATGCTGCCACAGCAGAAATGTCAGGAATGGTGGGGCTCTAATGGTTACATCTGTAATAAGGCAGGTGGCAACATTAAAAATCAGCAGTAATGAAAAGTGACAACTTTAGTAGAGAGGAACTGCCAGAGTGTCTGAGAGTACAAAATGAATGAAAAGGGACGGGTTTAATGTCTGTGCTGTCTCGTCATTGCACCCGCTTGTTCCTCTCATTTCACCTGAAGTTGTAAAGGTGGTTTTCTTTTCTCCGTGTATCGTTTACCGCAGACCCAGGAGGCGGCTATCCATCCATGGTACAGTCTTAGTACCTAGAGGCATAACTGTGGGGCAAGTTCTCCAGGAATACTAAAGAAACACTGCTGTGTAATGGGAGATCCCTCCTCGCTCTCCCATCCGTTTAGTGCATTTTTCGCCCCTTTAGCTGCCACTGCAAGGGAGCGACATGAAGAACGTATCTGTTGAAATCCCAGGCTAAATATCAAAATCAACTCTCATCAGTTATTATTTCTCAAAGCCATCCATATTTCAACAGAAGCTAGCTCCCCATATTAAGCATGTTGGTGCACAGAGAGCCGGCAGTATCTCTTGTCATAATGTTGATCTTTGTTGAGAGGGAATACCCCGTGGTGTGGAAGCAAATCTGCATGCAGAGTTAACATGGCACCTCCCTGCTGACTGGGTCTGAATGTGAAGACATTTTTCTTTTTTACTCTGCTATTGTTGAGAAATTGTCTACTGTTACATTTATTCATCCACTGTTTTGTTATTGAAATACGATCGGAATACAAATAAGTTGTAAACAAATCTGAGATTAGGTTACTTGTCATGAGAAATGAATCCGAACACACACACACACACACACACACATTTAAATTCGGTGTAAACATTTTAACACTAACACACACATCCATGCTCATGATCAACACACACAGCGGCACGTATACACACCTAAGTGAACAGAGCTTCTTGACAGGAGGGTAAGAGGGATGCGTAGCAGTCATGTGCATGCACGAACGTCAGCACATGTGCGCGCTGCAGACACACACTTCCGAGCACAGGATGCACACGCTCAAGCGAGCACATGGATTAATAATGTACCATATTCCCTGTAGGAGGCTAGTTAGCATTTCAGGAAGATTGCACTAACACTGGGGAACTGTAATTAGGAAGTTATTGTGGCAAGTTGCAACTCACACACACATGCGCGTACACACGCACACTTACACAACACACAGTATGCAAATAGTGAAGGGGGGGGGGCTGCAATTTGTATTTGTGTTTATTAGGATCTCCATTACTTGATGCAGATACATCAGCTGCTCTTCCTCAGGTCCACACATAAACATAAAGAAATAACAGGAAGGCATTAACATATCAAAAAAGACAAACACCCCCCGAAAAACAAAATCAAGGTTAAGTATTTTCACTTTATATTACCTTTTACTCATACTCTACTCCATTAAGTGTATTTAAATTTGCTACGTGTTCAATATTTTACAAACTTTGTTAACGTTACTTAAGTAACATTTTGAATGCAGGACGTTTGTTTGTAACGATGCATTTTTAAATCGTGGTATTGTTACTTTTCCTGCTCATAGAAAACTATATTCTTCTATCTAAATATAGAATATAGAAACAGAATAATATAAAAATATAGGCCTATATATTTGAATTACAGAGCCCCAAAAGCCTTAAAAATTTAAATTAGATTGTTTGTTTGAAAGTTCCAGTGTGTAGGATTTAGGGAGATATATTGGCAGAAATGGAATATAATATAATAATGATGTTTTCTTTAGTTTATAATCACCTGAAAGTAAGAATTGTTGTATTTTTGTTATCTTAGAATGAGTTGTTTATATCAACATAGAGAGCGGGTTCTCTACCATGGAGTCCACTATTTTGCACCGCCATGTTTCTACAGTAACCCAGAACAGACAAACCAAACACTGACACCAGATAGGGCTGTTCACATTATCGTGCAGGCCACCATAGTCAGCAGCCCCTCTGTGACAAGCTAAACCGTGTCGGAAAAACACTGATCTTTAAAGTGAAACTGCTTTATTTTGTGTTTCTACTGGTTTCAATCACCTGGGGTCTCATTTATAAACTTTGCATACACACAAGATGAGGCCTGAAAGAAGTGTGTGCCATTTCCCTTGCAAACATTGGTGGGAGAAACTCTGACCCAGGGGCGTCGTTTCAGCAAAAGCTAAGGTATGGCAATATGACATGACGTCACAGAGCTACTGATGATGGAGTTTCAAAAATATGAACTTATATAAACCTTCACTTTGGTCTTTGACCTGTCAGAAGTACATACTATGCTACTGAAAACTGTTTCAAAGGACATGAAGCTGTTTTTCACATTCATTATACCTCATGTCTGCATGTAATGCACGACTTGGTGATAGCAGTGAAAACATCGGACCTATTTCGGCGCATATTTCAGCACCACGGACAGCGAGCAGACGTTTAATTATCATTAGTCATGTGT